AAATCACTGCCAACATAAACTCATTAATATTAAATTATTTTACTCCATAAGCAGTGGCGATGAAGCTCCCTGAGAATCAGAGGGTCTTCCATTCCATCTTCCTGTGATTATTGGCCAAAATTAAATTCAGTCACTTCTCTACTCCTCTCCATTCATCTAAACTGCTTTAATCACATAATGTGGCAGTAATCTAGAGAATTTTGACGTTCAAATAAATAAATTGAACATGACTAAAGTCTGTGAAGAAAAAGAAAACAAAAACAGGACGTGGACTATATCAATATCAAGAATTCTTTCTGCATTGCTGATACAAAGCCACCTCTGTTTTAGCCCAGATGATGTATAACTCAAATGAGTGCCTACAAGAAAGTAAAATAAACGAAGGCAGGAAAGTAATTTTCACCTGTGAGTGAGCCGACCCAACGTGTGTTTCTCCCTCTAGAGCACAGTGCAACATAATGGAAACCAGGTGAAGCTAAGTTTAAAGAGCATATAAAAGTATTAAATAGCTTTCTATTTACTGAAGAAATTGATTATACTTGACAGGTGACATTTCTGAGATGTAGACGATTACCAGTGGAAAAAATTAAATCCATCAGAAAGTCTATTACTGAGAAGTAATAACTGTGTATGTGGATATAAAAGGAAAACACAATATACGGAAAAACTAGGGGAATTATATAGAAATGTATTTTCTTTAAATAAACTCGTGACATAATTATAATAGAATAATGAGAGAATTTGATTCAGATCTAGAATATCATGAAAATAAGCAAAAGTAACACTGGATTGAATAAAAGGCCAGTTGATGGTCTTGGCTCTGCCATTTAGTAGGTTTATGGCAAAAGCTTCACCTTTTTGCTACTTACCTTCCTCATCTTCAAACTGCAGCAAACACAGCTGTGCTACTCAATGCACAGGGTGATTTGAGGATTATATGCAAAAATATATGTGAAAGTTTTATAACAAAGCATAAAGTTATGTAGCCACATTTATTCAGATACTATTGCTTTAATTTTGAACCAAATTAATAAAGGGTCCAATCAAGCATTTATAGCTGAAGGCTGCTCAAACATCACCAACGCTTTATCAAGAACATCGATTTTCAGTGATTGACAAGTTGAGAAAGAGTGGTAAATGGTCAGATGGAGCTGGTGGCACTTCTACTTTAATAGCATAACATTTAAATTCAAGTCCATTTTTTTCAAGACATGCTCTGACATTCCCCCAGTGCTCAGAACACTGATCACGTACTATAGAACATGTCATAATAGCCACCTAACTCTGCAGGCAGGGTAGTATTTCTAAAGCAAAACTGGCTAGAACTCTCCACAGCACACAATCATGAACAGCTTCCCATCTTCTTGTGTGTGATGTGTCTCGAGTATAACACAGCACCTGTCTCCCTCACCTTTGCTATCAAAATTCCTCCTCCCACACTGTGATCCAGCATCCATCCACACAGATGACCGGCTGGTAGACAAGTTTATCGCTCTTAGAAAATATTATGCTGTGCTGATCTGCTGCTCTGCTCTGGCTGCCTTGCCTTTTGGTTCACCTGGAGAAACGTTCACTCCTATTTCAAGTTCAACTCAAGTGTACTGTCCCCTCTGAAGGTTCCCGGCCCCCTGGGACAAATTGGTCACTTCTTTTGTACCTACACTATATCCTGGGCATAGAAGTAATGCTAGAACTTGGAACACTTTACCATACTGAGGGAGACGATATAGGGTAGAATAAGGAGCACGGATTTGAGAGTCAGATGGTCTCTCTCAGAATCTTGGCCATCCAGCCTTGTGACCCTTGGCAATATACTTGACCTCTTAAAGCCTCAATTTTATCATCTGCAAAACAGGGATAATGATAAACTGAACTCAAAGGGTTAAATGAGAAATTATAGTTAAATATTTTATTATAGTTCCTGGCATACAGGTAGTACTCAATAAGTGTTTGCTGGTAGTAGATATAAGAGTTGGCAACCGTAATAATAATGATAGCAGTTGTTGACATGATGGCCCCCCCTTATAGAACTGAAAATTTCTTCACAGCAGAGATACTGTCCATTTCATGTCTCTTTTTCATGCTCAGCAATGTGGCATTTCTAGTAAAAGTGAGTCTTCCTGGCACAACCTAACTGGCATGTTGCTCTCAGATCAGTTCCCCACACTTCTTTCTTCGGCTTGGAATACCTATGGGTATGAAATGACGTTTCCCTGGCTTCCTTGCCATTAGGCTTCCAGCTGAGTCTGGCCAGTGGGAGGCACTGGTGTAACCATGATCCTCACTCCCTGGGATCCAGTAGCTTCGTCTCTTCCCTTTGTCCCTCTAGCGCTAGGATGGAGTGGCTTTGGTGGTGGTTAACCTTAGGATTGCCTCACTTCCCCTGATTGTCCTTCTAGCTCTTTGATCTAATCCTAATCATCCTATTAAATTCACCATATTAAATTTCCTCTCTTGATTTATCTGGCACAAATATGTCCCATGGCTGAATCCAGGTTTTTCCCATGAATGGATCTGACCTTTAGTCTCAGAGATCCACGAAGCTTAAGTGGAGACAAAAAATATTTGCTCTGCAGATTTTCAAGGGTTGTTGTGTGGGATCAATGAAAGTATTTTGAAGCTATAAATTGTTGCACAAATATTACACTTTGCTCTAAATATTTTCAATTGCAAAGGAACAACTTAGCTTCACTGATCTATAGCAGCGATGTTCTAAACTATACTGATACCTCCAGGGACACTATGCTTGTAACTTATACGGTTGAATAAAGGGCAGGACAAAGTCCAAGTGATAACTGAGTTTGGCATGGCCAAATTTTTATGAGCTCATAAGTGAGAAGACACTGATAGAAACAGTGAAAATTATGATTCTACTGAAGACAAGGAACACTTGGAAAACAGCCATCTTAGACTCTGCTCCAAGTCTTAATTTTGCAGATGAGCAATCACATTAAACTCCACAAGAATTCATGCAATGGCAAGTTATACTATCCACTTATTTGAAGACAACGCAAATGAAAGCAAAACCAAAACGCAGATAGCAATGCTTTGCTTAAGAAATCCAATTTTCAAGTAAGTTTTGGAGTTCTAAATTAAGACATATTACAGAGCAACTATTTGAAATACAACAAAATAGTCAAGATAGTGATTAAGACATGTTAAATAACATTTTTTTAAAAACTGCACAATCGTAGAATCCAAATAAGGTCTCTAGTTCATTGTAGTGTGCCAAGGTCAGTTTCCTTGTTTTGATAATATATTCTGGTTATGTAAGATGTTATCATTGGGGGAAGCTAGGAACTCTGTACTAGTTTTATAACTTCTTGTGAATCCAAAACTATTTAAAAATAAAAATTAAGAAAAAATTGTGTTTAGTATGTCAAAGGAAAGTAATTCGCCAGAAAAAAAAATTTGAAGTGCAAATTTTGCAGCCTTAAAAAGACTGCATACAATTAGAAATACAGTTCCTACTCTGCTACATAATTAAGAAACTTATGTACTTTTTGAATCACTCCACCAACATGTACTGTCAAACCATGACACTGGTCATGTTGTCACATTCCCTCCTGACATCTTTTACCATTTGGGAGATGTTCTCTTCTTTTCTGATCCTTCACTTGGCTATGAATTTCAAGTAATTTAAACTCCTGTGCTTGAGGTCGAGGCTTCCCCATGAAATCCAGGGACTACTAGTCCCAAATTCGCCACAGCTCACTTTTCAAGATGACAAACAGAGCATGTGCCATCAGTCACACATGAGGTTCTGTTCACTTCCCCATGATATTAACCTCTTGGTTTAGAGGTATGGCTTGTGTGTGGACGAGAACAAGAAGAGAACGTTTGGAAAAATAGCACAGCTGCATTCTTTACTCAGATGCTTGGGCATGAACTTGTAGATATCGTAGGAATGGATTCCACCTGAGTCTAGGATCCCGCAGCTACTCAGGATGATGGCTCTACCCAGCTCCCAAAGTGGATGAGGTGTGTAATTTCACACAGCCATTATGACTTTCCTCCAGATGAAAAACGGGCCTACTTTTCTTTGGTACAAAGGAATTCTTCTACCTCTAAGACATTGCTTTCAAAGAAGCAAACGTACTTTTAGGGAAACTGCTCTGTCGGATAGGCACGTGTCCATCCTGGAGATTCATCTCCTTCGTTCAAGCGGGCACAGCTTGAATAAGATGCAGGGAATCAAGACGTGAGGAGAGCCTCCGTTCTCAATTCCTCCCTCATACGTAAAAAGTTGCCAAGGTCACCATCTATAGTGACTGAGAAAGTTCTTAGCCTCTCTGTGCCTCATATAAAAAAATAAAATAAAGTACCGTATGTTTAATGTCTGTGGTTAGCTTAGATGAATGTGGCACAGTGTTTGGCATATAAGAAGCTCTTTTCTTCTGAAAACTAGGAAGCCGGACGCAGACACACTATTCAGAAACACCTGGGCACTGACTTGTTTTCTTCCCACTGATGTGATTTGTAGTGATTTTAGTTCCAGATCAGGTGCGACAAATGTTGATAAATACCCCCTCAGCGGTACCTGATGGTTTGTCAGTGTAAGTTTTCTGCTATGGCGCCATTACCCCCGAGGGCAACAGGGCCTCAGCAGAGCAAGAATCGAGTCTTCCAGATCTTCAGAGACCCCACGTTACCCAGGCAGCATCACGTGGGCAGGGTGTGACCCTGTTCGGGACTCTAGGCAGTTGCATGGGGGGGGGGGTACATGTTTGGGGGGGCAAGGGAGGAAGGGAGCTCTACTATATCTGCTCTGGCTTGAAGGCCACTGCTTCCACTGTGATTTTCTTCGCCTTGTCTAATACATGCACACATATACATACACACAATGTATGCATATATACTTAATTTTTAAAAAAAATCTTGACTAATAAAATTAAGTGTGTGATCTCTTCTCGCCAATTCACTGCCCATCACAATCACAGCAGCTTCCAGTGCCTGTCGGCTGCTATAATCATTATCACTGTCTCCCTTCTTCACTGCAGGCTCATCTTCATTTGAGACCAGAAACAGGGTTCGCATTTGCTACACTGATCCTTTAGAAACCTAACTGAGAAACCATGATCACACAATTTTGGGTAAGTCCAAGCCAGAAGTGCCTTTCCTCTTCCACCAGATGGCAGTCCCGTATCAGGATGGGGGGGGAAAAAGCGGGGGGGGTGCTGGCAGTATTTTGGATATAAAAGTATGTGATTTTGGTATTTTCTGCAAGGGGAAAAACTGACAAATATGCGGTGTGGTAAGAAATGAAGTGTAGGTGTTTTGCACAAACCCGTCACAAGTGTTCTGCAAAAATAAAAACGCAAACAATTGGAACTGCCTGAATTAAAAATATTTTGATGACTAACCTATGCTCTGCTACGTGACACCACAAGAGTTGAAAACAAACCCACAAAACATAGAACGTGTTCAAGTTTGTGGTTATAGCCACTATCTGCACTTGGGTAGTATTCTAAATATACCTCTGCTCCATAGCTAAAAATTGTCTCAAGTTTTTCATTTGGAAAGTGGGCATGAAAACAGATTACTAGTAGAATTAAATTAGAACATGTGCATGAACAACCGGCAAGGAACTGTCTTTCTGTGGTGATAAAGGGATCTTAAAAGATCGAGTTTTGCTCAAGAACACAGCCTGTGTGAAGCTCTTCCATCTGTCTCTCATAGCAGCCTTCACCAGGTACAGACTAGAGAGCACTCACCCACTCCCTGGGGAAATCCACCCAGAGTCTCTAACATCTTTCATGCCAGAAGCTGGGCTCTGCTCCAAGGCCATGTCGTTTGCCGGCACTAAGTGACGCTAATGAAATAGCATCTACTTCAGGATGCCTGATATGATGTCCATGACAAGCTAAAAGGCCAGTGCCAAAGACAAGAATGAGTAGACCCAAAACTTATAGGCTTTTATCTACTGAAACTTAATGTGGCCTTGGCATCAAGAGGATTTTTTGGTTCGTTGCCTTAGGGATGTGCTAGCTTACTAGACCAGGATGGTTCTGCTTTACCTTGCTTAACAAGAGAGCATTTTTCAGCATGCTCCAGACATCAGATAAGTCAAAATTTGGCTTCAGCTTTCAATTTAGTGTTTTTGAAGCAGACTCTGCACCTTTCTGTGCATGAATCCTCTGGCTCTTCATCTCCTCTCAGTTGGGAGTCAGCTGCAAACACCTTTGAGAGATGGTTCGGAATCTTTTCTACATATGTTAGTGTATCATGCTTATCTTTCGTAATTTTCTTAGTTCCCAGAGAGATCAATTAATTGCTCCCTATTCCCATTGGTCCCATTAGCACATTTTCCAGTATGAAAGAAGCTTGTTTGTCTTTTTTAGCCATTTGCCACCATTTTCCATGTGTCCAAAGGCATTTTCCCCTTCTTCCTGTGCCCTTTCTCACAGATCATTCTGGTTATCCCTGGTAGATAATGTGAGTTTGTACTTTGGCTCTCTAATATACATTTATCTTGCATGACCCAAGTATAGAGATGTTCAGAGAAAAAAATAATTTGGAAAAAAATTATTTCTACATTCCTTCCAGAACTTTGGGTCAGGCATATTTTTCTATTTAGGAAATATGACCAAAATGTTGATGTCTGCAGATACCTGTTAATTGCATCATTGTGTAAGTGAACTAAGGTCAATTAATGTAACATAAAGCTTGTTGGCAATGGCAAAAATACTCTACTGCTCCGCTCTCAGAGGTAATAACGCAGACTTCCGTGCTATTACAGGGCATGGTTCAATTTCCCCTGCACATGGGGGAAGGCATAAAGACACAGCTTATCAAATTCTGCATTTTATGACAGTTGGATTGTATTATAGCATAAAAGCAGATTTCGCATATTCTAGATCCAACCTTAGCCAAAAAAGAATGTAGGTCTGCTTGGCTGTTTTGCAATATTTTCTATAATCAAGCAGCTAAATGGGTCACAGTATAATATTTTATATATTTTTCCTAACCCAAAGGCCATGGAGAAATTTGACCTAATTAAAGCTCTGTAAAGAGCTTTTAAATTTTTCCACTACTGTGAATTTTACTTAGTTATGAAATGAAGGTTAACAATTTCTTTTTGATTATTTCATATAAAAATCCTCTAGAAAATCAAAGTAGATTAATAGCTTTAGCAACAAAGGTGACACTTAACAGACTATAGCCTTTCATTGTGAGTACCCACTATAACCGGCAATATCATTTTTCTTAGATTTGTTTACTTTCCATTACTCATAATTGCTTCTTTTAATTGGACCAAGCTAGCTTCGTTTAGACTCCCCTTGAGAGTGATGTTGGCAGGAATGATTGGCAGTTCTCTCTCCCACACAGTGCCATCCTGAAATTGCAAATGTCAGTTAACAGGCTTCTCTTTCCAATGTTTAGGAGTGGGAGTCTGCCTTTAGCAGCAAGTAGTCTGGGTGCACATATTTCTGAATAAATGCATGTGAAATTATGCATTCAAATTATGGAACCAGGGACCTGAAAGGAAGCAGAGAGGTCAGCTACTCCATCCATGCCAGGTCTGCAGGTTCCTAGTCCATTTGCCAGCCACTCCAGGCAGGTGGAACTACGTGCTACTTTTAAACATCATTACATGTAACCCCTCCTCAGCTGTCTATGCTAGAGGGTTAAGAAGAGCATCGCTGACTTAATTTTGCAGGCAATTTTTTTTATATCATGACATTTTGCACCAAGGCTTTTATTAGAGTTTCTGATCAGGAATAAAGTGGCAAGTCTTGGTCCCTTATCTTCTTATTTTTCATACGAATTAAAATTGAGGTGCAATTAAGCAGTTAAATGGCTGATAAATGGGGTGAGTAGGCTCAGTAGAAGCTATCACAGTGACAGAGAGTCTCCCAGACCTCTGGATCATAACCGAATACACACTCTATGCACCAAAGCACGTCAGGAAATGCACATCAGTGATGCTGGAGTGACAGAGCAGACTTCTACACTGACCTCCAAACTCTTATTTATAAGACCATGAAAAACAACAAAAATACAACATAATATTTAATAAGTATTATATGAATAAAATGGTTTTATAATAAATCAGCTAGGTATTTGTTTAAAAATAAAGAAGAAAAATCCTCTTGGCAGCCAGGCTGCCTGGATTCAAAAAGAACTGAAGAACCGAAGAGAGGAAGCTTCTCATGGTTGTATCATAATTGCTGGTGGCTGAAGTGGAAAAGTTTGTGACTAGGGGTATAAAAGAAAAATAAGGCACAGAATGGAGTTTTGATATTTTTACCTGTTAGTTTTGAAATCTGGGAGGTCTTGGTTACTTATTTTTACTTAATTTGAAACAGTTACATAGTTCCTACCCCATGCCAGACACTGTTCTGAGTGCTTTGTAAATATTAACACACAATTTTGGAAATCAAGACAAGTATGAGACAAGGAGGCCACAGAGAGGATGGCATCAAAAACTTTTCTGGCCAGCTGCTGTCTGGAGGGCGTTTGTACAGAGGAACTGAAGTTCCCTGCTTAATCTTACCGTCTTCCCCCTGAAAGAAGGCACTGTCTGGCTTCCACCTGCCATGGCCATCTCCAGGGACCTGCAGAGGCCCATAAATGGCACCTGACGCATGAAAGCGCCACGTCTGCTGCTCCTGGGCTGGCAGGCGGTGTTGTCTCACATCGAAGAAATGCAAGAAGGCCCTAATTTCTCTTGCCTGGATCCTCATTCATTTTGGCTCCTGTTGACCAACCACCCCCCATGCCAGGAGCCTCTGGGAAATGTATACTGGAGCTGAAGCAGGCAGAGGAATGCTCTCTTTCTACAGAGCTGAGAGCATATTTACAGAACAGGATTATGCTTAGTGGCTGAAATATATTTGTTGAATCCTGAAGAGATTATTTGCTAGAAATGTGTTTGTAGGGTTAGTGCCGTAGAGTGGATTCTAACTCCTAGGGACCCAGCAGAGCAGGATCCTGCGTGGTCTTTCTGCACCATCCTCTCCTCTCACCTTCCTGTGCTCTAGCAGACAACGCTCCCCTGCTGTTCACAGGATTTTCAAAGCTAGTGTTTTCGGAAGTGGGTGGCCAGGTCCTTCTTCCTAGTCTGTCTTAGTCTGGAAGCTCTGCTGAAACCTGTCCACCATGGGGGACGCTCCTGGTATTTGAAATCCTGGTGGCATAGCTTTCGGCATCACAGCAACATGCAGCCACCACAGTGTGACAACCTAGAGATGGGTGGTGTGTCTCCCTGACAGGAAATGAACCCGAGCTGCAGCGGTTAGAGGGCAGGATCTTAACCACCAGACCCCCAGGGTACCTAGAAATGCGTTTACTGCCGTGATAAGTAGACTTGTTGATGAAAGGTTACGGTTTCAACTTCCATTTGTGTGAAAAACTAATGTTTCAAAATAACATATTTGAGAAGCCAATTGGGACGGATTGAAGGCCTCCTATTGTATTTCACATCTTCAGAAATGTTTCTTAGAAACAAATGTGTCACTGAAACATTACTTTTCCCTGAACGGAAGTACCAGTGAATAAATGTAAGAAGGCTGCATGCACTGCGCGCCCAAGGCTTGTAATCTTTCTCCTGTAATTAAAAGTATCTGAAAATGTATGTAACTCCAAAAGCAAAATTGAGGGGAAATTAATTAGTTTCTTTTGGGGGTTGTGAGAACTAAATTCACACATTCCTGGAAGCGATCCCGAGGATACCAGTCCTAAGAAAGTTCAGAGATTTCATCCCCCCGAAAGAGAAAAGGAAGCCAAGCGGGAGATTGAGCATTATTCTGCCAAAATGGCACTCAATTGCTCAGAAACAGATTTTAAGAATTTTTTAATCCAATTCTTATCCTGCTCTCTACACTAGCTCTGCTCCTCTCTGAGGGCCCATGACTTTACAGACTCTAATATAAGGAATCACAGGGAGCCCTCAGGATTCAGGAGTACCTTACTTAGTTCACACAAGGTAATTTTCCAGAAAAATAAAAATTGAACAATAAACTTTAAAAATTTTTAATAGAAACTTGAAATGTATTAAACATTACTCTGTCTTCTTTAGAGAGAACCCACTGCATAGATATTGACAATTTTATGTGTAATTTAGACGTCAAGGCCTTGCATCGTCTTCCCC